TAAGGGATCGCTTCAGGAATGATGTGATCCGGCAGAGAACCAAGGTCACTGACATAGCCTACCAAATTAGCAAGTTGAAGTGGCAGTGGGCTAGCCATATTAGCCGCTGAACCGACAACCGTTGGGAAAAACGAATTCTTGAGTGGAGACCGCGTCTTGGCAAACGTAGTAAGGTGGAGTGACGATTTGCTCAAGATGGCTGGCAGGAGCTGGATTCGAGAAGCCCAAAATCGATCTAAGTGTCGTGCAATGGGAGAGGCCTATGTCCAGCAGTGGACTGCGATATGCTGATGATGATGATGATGATAATGATGATTTAATATATCCTACATATATTATTATATTATATTTTTTATTTCAAGTCACACTAGCAATCATTTTACAAAGTCTTGAGCTGAATTGAGACCACGACAAAACGGTTTCGCTAAATGTCGCCATAAAAGTAGAAGAAAGATGTAGGCAAGTTTTGACGGGTTAATGTCTGTTCTATTTTTATAGTTGTCTAGGTCGTATACTAAGAGCTGAAACATGGACGTTCTAACCAGCCCAACAAATTAAAGTGACAGACAGATTACGCTTCACTTATCTTCTACTTTTTTATACATACAGGAAACTTGATATGGAAATTGTATTATTTTTACTTGTTAAATTATAAAACTAAAGGATCCGGAATATAGTATTGGTAATGTATAATTGTATATATATTTTGAAATATGCTTAAAAAAAAATGAAAAGGTTTATTTCTATCTCAATCATAAGACCTTAGGTTCTATTCCTAAAACAGGCAATATCTTTAGGGTTTTTCCTGTACTGGAGTTGAATACGAGTATAAGATTCCCTCTAAACTTAATGAAATACTAGGCCTTCCTAAACTTCGCCCTTATTATGCCTCTTATTATGGTAGGAAAATAACACAATTTATTCTGTTAGTAAAAATATATTTCTTTTTAATTAATTGAATACTCTTTTGTTACCTGCAACAAACTTACCTATATATACTATATACCTATATAAAAGTTCTTGTAACCCCGAACTACAAAAGTCGCCAATTAATTTAATAAATAGTATTTCCGTGATCTTTTAAAGTAAATTTACGTATAGGTATAATAAAAGTTAGATTTTTCATTTACTATTAAAATGAAAAATCAAACTCAGATAAAATATCCACCGCTGGTGACGACACAAAGTGTCTCTCATTTGTATGCTAAAATATACCTAGAATATTCGCACACACTAATGGAAGCTAAAGCAATTGCATTACCAAACTAGCATCATGTGATGACCTGTTTGTTATAAGCGTGCTCGTAAAATTAGGTCACTCCTAATGTTCATACTTTATTGAAGAATATAATAACCTCTGAAAGGGGTTTTTTTTTTCATAACGCTTTCCATATAATCGAATAGAATTAGCAGAAAATGGGTCTAAAAAGCGTGAAATTGATAAGCTACATTTTCTTTTTGTATCCGTTGACAACGTTACGATTAACATATAACATTTCAACGTGGATCCGTTCATGGGAATATTGTTAAAATTAAGTCAAAAACAGACAAAAACGATATTTTTAATAAATATATATATATGTAAGTTCATTCCTGTTCTACACGAGGCTAAGCCGAGCTTGAACTAGGTATTTTAACGAGAGTGCAAACTCGTCTTAGATTGAATCCAGATAGCAATGTTTTATATATCCCAGGAGATTATCATATTTTACTTTATATCTTAATATATATTTTGCAGTTATTAACTGGAACAATTTTATGTTTCCCATATTTTCTGATTTAGTGAGGCACAGCAGAGAACCATTCCTGGTGAGAGTAAAAATCTCCATCACTCTATACTGTTAGATAGTACTGTACTCGTATGTAAGTGTATAGTAGTCCTCTCGAGTACAATAATACAAAGTTTACGAGAAACTGTATAGCGGTTTTTTGTACCAGTAACTAATAATATCAGTTACGTCCAGTGTTAGCTTTTCAAAGCCATTAAAATAAACCCCTTCCATACAAGAAGAACTTTTAATTAAAAATAACCATTATCATTTACAGAATTACCATATTCAATTATTCTATTCTCAACCTTAATACATTTAACACGATAGAATAAAGTGCGAAGATTGCATTTTATGAACACTTAAACTATCTGCGGAGTCCAATAAAACGACTTCACTTCCATTTTATGACAGATTTATATTTTGAAAACCATTAAATATAGCAATAAGCTTGTCTGTTCTCTTTGATGTATAAAATCTCGTGTATTTTATTTACTTTTGGCCACTATAAATATTAGGAAATCCTCAATATATGTCTGCGGGTCAACCAAACATTTGTCATGTGCCTTTACTGAGTCCACAACACTTTAATCACTAAACCGCTACCATTAAGCTCAACATCCTAATGACCTAACCGTTCCATATTACATCTTGTATATGGCACGCCGTATTTGTTCCGGTTTGTGATCGTAGTTCATAATTTTAACAGATAATAATCGTTTTCTGACATCTGACACACAACTCCATCATGTTTCAAACTAAGCAGAGCTTGTGCTATGGACGCTAGATTGACTGTTAGAATATTTATATACTTTTTATTTGTAAATATATACATAATTATACATCAAACACATCCAAACTCTGAAAAATATATCTACAGATTATACAAACATTTATTCCGACCCGGGGATCGAACCCGAGACCTCAGAACAGCAGTTGCAGAGGCTACCAATTTGGGTTTTGATATTAATACTATTCTCTTATGCTTATGAATATAATCTTATAAATATTATAGTTTTTTATATAAATGGAAATCGATCAGATCAGATTTTATTAAAGGGTCCAATTGTATAAATATACACAGGTACACAGATTGATTGTGCAACGTAAAAGTTTCTTATAAGTGCACAGTGGTGCAGTCAATTATTCAGGTGATAGTTAAATTTAAATCTATTTAAAACTGCAACCATTTTTATTTATAGCTAGCTCATTGAAGACTGGGACTAGTTTTAGCCAGATGCAATCAGCTAAAACCAAATGTGTTATTCTCATATTTAGCAGCTTCACGCAAACAGGGTACAAATACGTTTACGGCACTGCTATAGTTTCCATTTATAGTTACGTTGAGAATTTATTTGTAACTGCACTTTGGATTTTAGGCATACAATATATGTGGCTTTTTGACAAAAAATATTTTGACGTGTGTACCATTTCAGCGTTGATGCATTGGACTCGAACCTACTAACATTACACGGTTTACTTCATAGTAGCCTATAGTAGAGAGTTCTGGTATACCTTGGATTGTAACTCAACCATCCACATACATCTACAAGTTAAAAGCCGCCACTAGAGTCTCTTTAACAGGCATAATATACACACGTAATCTTTAATACATATATTAAACTATATATTTCTAACAAGGTAAGAATTATTAGTAGCTTAAAGTAACTATTTATAAACTGGATTACCGCTTTCCATCTCATAAATTTCATAAATTAAAAATGTGATGCCTTCTATTCCGTAATTGCCGCGTAAATACATTTGACAAAATTGTCATAGCGTGAATTCTGGGTAAGGTAAGAATAATTAGAAGCTTAAAGTAACTATTTATAAACCTGGATTACCGCTTTCCATCTCGTTTCTTATTGTACTTGGTTACCACCTTGGTACTTCAAAATAATATGCTATCTATCTACATATGCCTCTAGCAATTATTGTAATAACATTTTCATTCTGAATTTCTTACTTCTGTGTCGTTTAACCTAATACACTTTTACTAATTAAGGGTAAATTTATTACATTTTTCTCACTTTGCACTTTCAAAAAATATTAATTGTAATTTTATAAGTGTGCACAAGATGCAATGAGCTATCAAACACTAAAATATTTTTCAATTCGAACCAGTAGTTCCTTAGATTAGCGCTGCGAACCAAAAATTCACACAAAAGAACTCTTCAGCTTTATAATATTACTTTAGATAATCATCTTAGTTTATATTTTGTTGTCTCAATACTCTCGTACTTAAAGTTTACAGCTGTAACATCACAACAATATCAAATAGAAGCATTTAAAAAATCTACTTTATATTTTATTGATAGTGTTCACATTTGAACCACATTCATTCATAATGTAAAAGGCGTAAGTACCATTACCTACTCGTACACATTGTTTCTTATTGTCATGCAATGCCACATAAGAGAAAATTTTACTACCTTGTCCGATATGTTTAGTATGAACTAACATAATATTTTATGGTACTGTTTGTATTCATCATTCTTTATTTTAATGCTAGACATAATATTTAGGGTATGGAAGAATATAAACTTAAAAGAACAGAAACGAACGCGTCAAAATTATCAATTGCGATTTAACTTGACAGATAGACAGAAGTCATGAGGATTTTAGTATAATTTTATTTAGAATTTTACTAGAATCTTGTTAATAATCTTCCAATAAGCATATAACCTAAAGTACTGATTGCAAAGGAGGTGCCGAATGGGATAAGTTAAGATACTAGGGGTTTTGAAAATAACTGTTTGAAGTATCGTAGTTTATGAGTACCATTAAAAACTACTTAAAAAACCGGCTCTAAAAAAAAAAAACCAATCCATGTATTGTTTAGTACAAAAAGTATACACCACACAATAGGAGGCCTTATTCATCTATCAATCATATATTTGTTTCTATATAGTTTTCATAGAATTAAATTAGTATAAAGCTTGACAGATATTACAGCAAAAGTAAATAAGTTGAAATAGTCTTAAAACTGAAACTTATCTCTAACTAGTGGCTTATCCGACATTGTCACTACCCAGTCACAATATCCCTCAGAAAACAATTACTTTCTATAAACCCATAAAAAAATTGTATGCAAGAAAAAGTACTGAAAATAGTAGTATGAAAAGTGTGTACATGAGAGCTGAAGAGCGTGCTATTCACGATATCTAAGATCTGTGGATAGGAAATGTATATTTACGGCACCGGCACGAGCCCAGTGATCCGACAAAAACCATGGCGCGGTGTTTTGACGGTGCTCACAGGTGGTATAATGAGTTGTGTGGGGCGCGGCGCGGAGTATCGAGCGTGCCGGCGGCGGCGGCGGCGGCGCGCGCAGCAGTGCAACGGGCGCCTGAAGCCCGGCCGGCCGCGTTCACAGTGTTAGATGCGTCCTCCACCGGCCGCAATATACAGCCGGCCGCGCGAGGCGGCCCGACCGCCTACCGCGAACACTTCCCATATCCCTTTCATATTAGGTACCCCCATCCTGATGCGGTAAACAAACCCCATGTGATAGTGATGTGAAGTGACCATTTATCATATCCTTCTTTAATTGAGCCACGTGACGATTTTATAATTTTACGTGACGAGGGCGACGAGCCGTTCATGTAGTGTAATTAGTTAATCAATTATGTAACGACCCTAATGGCAAAAGCTTTTCAGCGGTTACACTATAGACGCATATAATTTACGAAAAAGCTTTTTATAAATTAAAAATGTGATGCCTTCTATTCCGTAATTGCCGCGTAAATACATTCGACAAAATTGCCATAGCGTGAATACGGGTTTTAATATAATTTGTACATACCGTTATTTATTTTAAAACTAGTAATCTTATCGCTGAAATAACAGTTAATTCCAAGTACGGAAGTAACAAATTACATAGAAGAAAACTTAAGGCTTTTATTGTTTAAACAGTTATTATTTAGTCATTGTTTTTAGATACTATTAACTATTAAAGTTTATACCGAAGTATCGTTCATGGTTTTATTCAAACTATCGCTAGCGTAGTCTATTTGTAGCACCTGCTACGGAATTGGCTACGAGAGTTCTACGCTCGGGAATTATGAATATTAGTTGTTAATATAAGCTACGGCGTAACGTACATAACTCTGCAGTTTATTTATTTTGTGGGAACGTTAAATTAATTAAGAATATGATATAAAGCGGGGGGTGGGTGTTACGTTTGTAAATTAATTTAACAGCTCCATAAAAAGAAAACTCATTATTAAAATACATGATAGTTAGGATTTCTTTCTTGTTGTGTAGCTTTTAATTTTTAATAGTAAATATTTACCAATAATCTCAATCAATTAAGATATTCCATCGTACATAGGGGTCATGGAGTAGGAGAAGATTTCCTTGTCTAGTTAGAAAAAGTTGCAAATATATTTTAATAAAAAATAAAAAAAACTAATTCAAATAAAAGGCGGTCATCAATAATTCCCTTCTATTATAAAACTAAATAATTGTTTGAATTATCAAGTTATTACCAGTAGTTGTAATTAACCTTGATTTAAATGTACTTATGACTTTGTTGACATAAATAATAAGCTTCGTAAGTATCTATTAAATCAAATCTTTCAAACAGCGATGAAAATAGTTGGTAGACAATACTAGACTTTAATGAGCTGTTATGAGATTATAATATTGAATATAAGGCTTCTATTGTATCCAGTGTAGGCATCAAGCCAGAAAACAAAATGTTCTATATTTAAATACCAGTTGCACAAGTCTCTACAAGTGCATTCACTTATAGATACTTCGTATTGGCTGGTTAAAGCATAAATAGGTAAAAATAATGTGCGAGCTCTTATAAGGTATCAGTAACTCAAACAAAGGATCTACAAACTGTTGTTTAAAAAAAAAGATTTTATGAACCATTTACTCTGGAAATTAAGCGTAGTTTATGTACTATTTCCGATTATAATCTATCTTTGCACCAAATTTTATCCAGATCAGTTCTATTGTACTTCCGCGTTAATAGTAGGAAGTCTAAAAGTTATTTAGGTATACAATTTTGTTACATACAATAAAAAAAAAACATGTCTATGATACTGTTTTGTTATAACAAAAAAGGTAACGACTATCGAATATATCCAGAAAAGACAAAACGTTGTACCTATATGGAATTTCGGAGTTCTATTTTGCTAGAATATAAAGAAAAACTAAAGTGAGTCCCCAAAGACAGCTCTTCTGTAGCAAAACTATCTGTGTCCTGTCTTTCTTTTGTCATGCAGATTTGCCCTTATTTTATTTATGTACAAGTACATTATATCGTTCTACATGTCTATATAAAGCTTTAAATACTGTAGTAATTTAAGTTTAGTCTTTAATCAACCAATAATACTAATCGACATTAGATTTTTGCGAACTGTTAACGTAAAATCATGACCCATAATATAATAATTAATTTAAGCAGGTAGACCAAAACATAAATGCAATCAGTTATAAACATATAAAAGTTTATTCTATATTCTTTATTAAATTATCAACAATACAACTTTTTCCCCGACTATACTTTACGGAAATTGACGTTCTCTATCGACAAAAGTAGCTTACAGTTACGCTGAGTCTTGGATTTTCAAAGCCTATTGATACTACATTACATCAATTCAAGTGTATTCGTTATCCTCATAGGAAATTAGAATTTTTCGAACATATTTTTAATAAAAAAATAATATCTATGACATTCAAAGAAATTTTTATAAAAATTGCTATTAAATAAACCAATTAAGCCTGGCCACGCCCTATTATGGTCTTCTATTTTTTATTTAATCAAAAATGCTCACTGGAATTTAAAAGCAATATAGTATCAAAATTTCAAGATTATTTGTACATAAAATAAAAATTTCGATCATTTACTTCTAGGTTAGTGATCCGAATCGCTAAGCCATAGATCATGGGTTCTATTCACAACTAGGATAAATAGTTATGTAATGAGCACGATAACTTGTTCCGTGACTAAATATAGTGTAGGTATTTATAATATATATATATATATATATAATATATGTATGTATGTATTTCAAACCAGTTCACTACAATACAGGCTCTGCTGAGTTTGGGATAAGACGGTCGTGTATGATATGAGTCATTTATGTGTCTCTATTGAATTATTAGTGACGAGTTTTTGTAATTAAAATTCTTGCACTTGAAATACTTAGGTTACGTCATTTTTGCTCGCCCATTGGTGTGCTAATAAGTTAAGAACCATTAATCCAGTTTACTCTTCTGTGTTTACTTTACTCTATTTCTTTCATCCTCTTACATAACTTTTAATTGAACGTGACGGTGACCGGGAAGCCTTAGTATTACTCACTGTCATTTAACCTTTTTTTAATAAAACAAACACTGTACAAAAATTTGCAATCATCGTTATTTTAGACACATTAGTTGTAAAGAAAAACTTTGAAGCACAGTACTAATCGTTCACTGACCAATCAGACAATAGGACAATAGGTCAAATATCATTTTTTACTTAACTCACTAACTTAACTATCACATAGTATAATTTAATTTAAAAATCCTCCCGATACTATATAATAAAGATTTCGAAAAAAGTAATTTAAATTTCCCAGACTATTTCAAACAAATTATATTAACAAGTGAATCATGATTCGTGAATGGGATTTGCCGACTGTACACATTCTAATATGAGTTTATTTACATAATTTAATTATTTCGGAATTCCTTCATGAACATTGGGCGGTTCGTAAACGCCATGAATTGGGCATATAAGTATTATACTATTATTATTTATTTCGAGCACTCATATTCCATTTTTTTAGTAATACACATTACTACGACGCTTTCATCAAATGGTTTAAAAGAAAAATGCAAAACGAATTTTGTGTAGTTCTTATTAAAAGCACGATTTACTTGTTGAAGAATTTAGGCCTACAAAATAAATTAGTTTTAGATACGTATTGTAGATAAAACAGATGAGATTGGATGTATATTGTAGAAACGTAAACGTATTAAAATTTGAAGAATCCAATAAATCATATTTATTATATATCAACATAAGTAAGATTACCTAATCTTTGATAGCCGGTGCAAATACATCACTCGAGTTTCATACTGTATTTGAAGTATGTCCTGAGTAGTCCTGTTCTGTGCTGAATGACACTAAAAACCCAATGGGCTTCTAGTGATACTCAGTAACAGATGAAGACAGTATCAAGGTGCTGTTAAATATAGCCTTCCATTCGCTGATTTTTTTTTCTCAGTTTACCAACTCCAACTTGAATGGAAAACCGATTTAATACACACTACAGCCTTTATGTACCAGATTATTTGGATGTAATACATATTTTTACGTAAATATATTCATTACAGCCGCTTCAGGTATTACAAATAAACCTTTGTTATAAAATGTCTAAATGTTTTCAAGTCGACATAAGCCGGGGATCAAAGAAACCTTTTATGTATTACTAAAGTCGATATCTAGGCATAAAAGCTTTTTATAAATTAAAAATGTGATGCCTTCTATTCCGTAATTGCCGCGTAAATACATTCGACAAAATTGCCATAGCGTGAATACGGGTTTTAATATAATTTGTACATACCGTTATTTATTTTAAAACTAGTAATCTTATCGCTGAAATAACAGTTAATTCCAAGTACGGAAGTAACAAATTACATAGAAGAAAACTTAAGGCTTTTATTGTTTAAACAGTTATTATTTAGTCATTGTTTTTAGATACTATTAACTATTAAAGTTTATACCGAAGTATCGTTCATGGTTTTATTCAAACTATCGCTAGCGTAGTCTATTTGTAGCACCTGCTACGGAATTGGCTACGAGAGTTCTACGCTCGGGAATTATGAATATTAGTTGTTAATATAAGCTACGGCGTAACGTACATAACTCTGCAGTTTATTTATTTTGTGGGAACGTTAAATTAATTAAGAATATGATATAAAGCGGGGGGTGGGTGTTACGTTTGTAAATTAATTTAACAGCTCCATAAAAGAAAACTCATTATTAAAATACATGATAGTTAGGATTTCTTTCTTGTTGTGTAGCTTTTAATTTTTAATAGTAAATATTTACCAATAATCTCAATCAATTAAGATATTCCATCGTACATAGGGGTCATGGAGTAGGAGAAGATTTCCTTGTCTAGTTAGAAAAAGTTGCAAATATATTTTAATAAAAATAAAAAAAACTAATTCAAATAAAAGGCGGTCATCAATAATTCCCTTCTATTATAAAACTAAATAATTGTTTGAATTATCAAGTTATTACCAGTAGTTGTAATTAACCTTGATTTAAATGTACTTATGACTTTGTTGACATAAATAATAAGCTTCGTAAGTATCTATTAAATCAAATCTTTCAAACAGCGATGAAAATAGTTGGTAGACAATACTAGACTTTAATGAGCTGTTATGAGATTATAATATTGAATATAAGGCTTCTATTGTATCCAGTGTAGGCATCAAGCCAGAAAACAAAATGTTCTATATTTAAATACCAGTTGCACAAGTCTCTACAAGTGCATTCACTTATAGATACT